GGAGCACAATGTACGTTCATACACTGTAAAAAAAAAAAAAATAATAATAAGCATGCAGAATTGCACACACAAAAAATCAGCGAAAGGTGAACCGCGTTATAGCGACGGACGACTGTGCACATACAGTGCCACCCCTGAATGTTCTTCTTGTGTAACATCACTGAACCCTGTGTGTGTTCTCACCATCCAGCAGCACCGATCTGTACGACAGGTTGCACCTTTGGGTGTCGAAGGGAAACTTGTAGATGTGCAGCCGGCAGGTGCTGATGATCACCTGGTCGTTCTTGTAGGCCACAGAGCCGTTGTTTTTTATATAGATAAATGGACTCGGGGTGGACTTGTCCTTCTCCGTCCTGGAGCAACAAGAAGGGACAAAAACATGTCACCATAGTAACGGTAAAGTGTCGTCACGTGACACAGTGTACGTCACATGTCGTGTGTGTGTGTCACAGTGTACGTCACAGTGTACGTCACGTGTACGTCACAGTGTACGTCACGTGTACGTCACAGTGTACGTCACAGTGTACGTCACAGTGTACGTCACACGTCACAGTGTACGTCACAGTGTACGTCACAGTGTACGTCACAGTGTACGTCACAGTGTACGTCACAGTGTACGTCACAGCGTGTACGTCACAGTGTACGTCACAGTGTACGTCACAGTGTACGTCACAGTGTACGTCACAGTGTACGTCACAGTGTACGTCACAGTGTACGTCACAGTGTACGTCACAGTGTACGTCACAGTGTACGTCACAGTGTGTACGTCACAGTGTGTACGTCACAGTGTACGTCACAGTGTACGTCACAGTGTACGTCACAGTGTACGTCACAGTGTACGTCACAGTGTGTACGTCACAGTGTACGTCACAGTGTACGTCACAGTGTACGTCACAGCGTGTACGTCACAGTGTACGTCACAGTGTGTACGTCACAGTGTACGTCACAGTGTGTACGTCACAGTGTACGTCACAGTGTACGTCACAGTGTACGTCACAGTGTACGTCACAGTGTACGTCACAGTGTACGTCACAGTGTACGTCACAGTGTACGTCACAGTGTACGTCACAGTGTACGTCACAGTGTACGTCACAGTCACGTACGTCACACGTCACAGTGTGTCACACGTCACACGTCACAGTGTGTCACACGTCACACGTCACAGTGTACGTCACAGTGTGTACGTCACAGTGTACGTCACAGTGTACGTCACAGTGTGTACGTCACAGTGTACGTCACAGTGTACGTCACAGTGTACGTCACAGTGTACGTCACAGTGTGTACGTCACAGTGTACGTCACAGTGTACGTCACAGTGTACGTCACAGTGTACGTCACAGTGTACGTCACAGTGTACGTCACAGTGTACGTCACAGCGTGTATTTGGCTAATTTCGATACCATCAACAGACAGTGTCATATTTTGACTACATGTATTTTCATCTTTTTTGTACTGAAAATCATAAAATTTGTCTTTTGTATATTTAGAGAGTTGATTTGTTTTAAACCAATCAGAAATGATTGATAATTCCTCATTTGTTTCTCATCAGATCATTTAGATTGGGATGAGATAATAGAAGGCAGGTATCATCTGCAAACATGAGGGGCAACAGTTTTTTACAAATATTTTTTTATATCATTAATATAAATTATGAATAACAGAGGTCCTAGAATGGAGCCCAGTGGAACACCACAAATGAACTTACCTCTATATGAGCTTTGGCTGTTTATACAGACAAATTGTTTTCACTCCTACAAATTTTCTACAATAATTTTTCAACCGTTTTAAAACAAGATCTTTTATTCTATATTTTTTCAATTTAGTAAAAAGAATTTCATAATTTACTGTGTCATAAGGCATATTAACTTAATTGTGGACGGTGTACAACCAGATGGTCATACTTCAGAAAGGCACTGTTGTGAAAGTAGTTCTTTGTGTTTCATGCGAACCTTGTCAGAGAAATCCTCATTTATAAAGATGTTTGTGCCTTTGAGGGACTTTGCTCTTTTAAGTATTTCTTGTTTGTCCTTGTTACAAAGAAGTTCAGTTAGAATAAATCTTGGTCACACATTTGGATTGTTTCCCAAGTCGAAAGTTCCTTCACTTTTGACTCTGTTTCACTCCATAACTCTGATTTTGTATCTGGAGCTCCATCGATGATGATGTTATTTTTTCTTGAGATATTATCCATATAATCCAGTTGAGCTGTCAGGTTGTTTAAAGAAGCTTGGTAATCCACAAGACTTCCAGAGATGATGTGAAGTTCCTCTGGTCTGCTGCAGCCTTCATGTCATCTCGATCAGCCTGAGAAAACTGGAGACTTGTTTTTAAGTCTTGTAAGTCTTTTGTCACACTTTGGACATCTTTGAACAAGTTGTCCATGTGAGCAAAGATGGAGTCCACAATCACTTGAACACGTGATCTGAAGCTTTTTTCTTGTTGATCAAGAAGTTCTTTATAAAAGGACTTTTGCTGTTCCAGCAGCTCCTGAACCATTGTAACAGATTCATCCTCACACTTTCTTGGCATTTTGATGATGACTTGAATTGAAGATCCAGGTGGAGTAGGCCTTTGTTTTCAATCTGCCAGGTTTCACTTTAATCAGTGACCATCCACTTTTCTTTTATCCACAATTTAGAAATATAGTAAATAATGTTTGCAAAAATGTGGAAATTACTTTGTAGAAGTGATAGAACAGTATAAACATATAAAAATACAAGATTCAATAAGTCTTGCTAGTGCTAATGCTGCTGCCAGACAGGAAACAGGAAGAGCTTCAGAGGTTTGACGAGATCTGTGTGTGTGTCTCTTTGTGTGTATCTGTGTGTGTGTGTGTGTGTGTGTGTGTCTCTTTGTGTGTATCTGTGTGTGTGTGTGTGTGTGTATCTCTTTGTGTGTATCTGTGTGTGTGTGTGTGTGTATCTGTGTGTGTGTGTGTGTGTGTGTGTGTATCTCTTTGTGTGTATCTGTGTGTGTGTGTGTGTATCTCTTTGTGTGTATCTGTGTGTGTGTGTGTGTGTGTGTGTCTCTTTGTGTGTATCTGTGTGTGTGTGTGTGTGTATCTCTTTGTGTGTATCTGTGTGTGTGTGTGTGTGTGTGTGTGTCTCTTTGTGTGTATCTGTGTGTGTGTGTGTGTGTGTGTGTCTCTTTGTGTGTATCTGTGTGTGTGTGTGTGTGTGTGTGTGTGTGTGTGTATCTCTTTGTGTGTATCTGTGTGTGTGTTGTGTGTGTATCTTTGTGTGTATCTCTGTGTGTGTGTGTGTGTGTGTGTATCTCTTTGTGTGTATCTGTGTGTGTGTGTGTGTGTATCTCTTTGTGTGTATCTGTGTGTGTGTGTGTGTGTGTGTATCTCTTTGTGTGTATCTGTGTGTGTGTGTATCTCTTTGTGTGTATCTGTGTGTGTGTGTGTATATCTGTGTGTGTGTGTGTGTGTGTCTCTCTTTGTGTGTATCTGTGTGTGTGTGTGTGTGTGTGTGTGTGTGGTCCTCACATTTCCTCTATGGTGATATCAGGTGTCCACAGTTTATCGACGGGAATGGAGACCCACTCGATCCCACAGAAGTCATCACGGTTCCAGCGAATGAAGTCATTTGGCCAAATCTGAAACACACACACACACACAACATCATGAAACACACACACACACACACACCATCATGACACACACACACACACACACACACACCATCATGAACACACACACACACCATCATGAAACACACACACACACACACACCATCATGAAACACACACACACACACACACACACACACACACCATCATGAAACACACACACACACCATCATGAAACACACACACACACACCATCATGAACACACACACACACACCATCATGAAACACACACACACACACACCATCATGAAACACACACACACACACCATCATGAAACACACACACACACACACACACACACACCATCATGAAACACACACACACACACACACACCATCATGAAAACACACACACACACCATCATGAAACACACACACACACACCATCATGAAACACACACACACACCATCATGACACACACACACACACACCATCATGAAACACACACACACACACCATCATGAACACACACACACACACCATCATGAAACACACACACACACACCATCATGAAACACACACACACACACACACACCATCATGAAAACACACACACACACACACATCATGAACACACACACACACACACCATCATGACAACACACACACACACACACCATCATGAAACACACACACACACCATCATGACAACACACACACACACACACCATCATGAAACACACACACACACACACCATCATGAACACACAACACACACACCATCATGAAAACACACACACACCATCATGACAACACACACACACACACACACCATCATGAACACACACACACACACACCATCATGAAACACACACACACACACACACCATCATGAACACACACACACACACACACACCATCATGAAACACACACACACACACATCATGACACACACACACACCATCATGAAACACACACACACCATCATGAAACACACACACACACACACACCATCATGAAAACACACACACACACATCATGAACACACACACACACACACCATCATGACACACACACACACACCATCATGAACACACACACACACACACACCATCATGAAACACACACACACACCATCATGAAACACACACACACCATCATGAACACACACACACACACACCATCATGAAACACACACACACACCATCATGAAACACAACACACACACACACACACACACACCATCATGACACACACACACACACACACCATCATGAACACACACACACACACACCATCATGAAACAACACACACACACACACCATCATGAAACACACACACACATGACACACACACACATCATGAACACACACACACCATCATGAAAACACACACACACACACCCATCATGAAACACACACACACACACCATCATGACAACACACACACACACACCATCATCATGACACACACACACACACACACACACCATCATGAAACACACACACACACCATCATGAAACACACACACACACACCATCATGAAACACACACACACACCATCATGAAACACACACACACACCATCATGAAACACACACACACACACCATCATGAAACACACACACACACCATCATGAAACACACACACACACACCATCATGAACACACACACACACACACCATCATGCACACACCACACACACACACACACATCATGAACACACACACACACACCATCATGACAACACACACACACACACCATCATGAAACACACACACACACACCATCATGAACACACACACACACACCATCATGAAACACACACACACACACCATCATGAAACACACACACACACACCATCATGAAACACACACACACACACCATCATGAAACACACACACACACCACATAACACACACACACCATCATGACACACACACACACACCATCATGAACACACACACACACCATCATGAAACACACACAACACACACACCATCATGAAACACACACACACACCATCATGAAACACACACACACACCATCATGAAACACACACACACACCATCATGAAACACACACACACACACCATCATGAAACACACACACACCATCATGAAACACACACAACACCATCATGAAACACACACACACACCATCATGAAACACACACACACACACCATCATGAACACACACACACACCATCATGAAACACACACACACCATCATGAAACACACACACACACCATCATGAAACACACACACACACCTGTACGGTCCACACGTAGGAGACCATGGTCTGGTCGATTTCTCTCTGTGAATCCAACAAAACATAAATGTTAGAAAACTGCAGTAGTCCACATAGCAAAAAGTATTTGCGGCGAATCCGTGGCGAATCTTCAGGTACGTCCGCCGTGGATCCGCCACGAATACTTTTTATGCTCCATAATAGTGTCCACTTGCACATTGCGGTGGGTGTGGAAAAATAATCCCATCTGAGGTGCGGCTAATCCGCCGCGGATCTTGCGGATCCGCCCAGGACCCGTTTTGGATCCACGTTCAGATTCGGGTTTTCTGCCGTGGATCTGCTGCAGATCTGTTTATTATGTTGTTAGGAGCCTAAATGTGCTTTAGATTTAATACTGATCCACTTCCTACTGACCTAAAAACACACCAGCAGCATTTACACTGAAACATAAAACACCTTTTACAGCAAATATCACAACAAGGATGTAGAGGCTTAAATTTAAAAACATGAACCTCAACAATTCAAAGTTGGATCAGTGATATAACACAAAATCTCATTAGTTAACAAAAGAAGAAACTGCTTTTTTTTTTTTTACACTGTGAACAATGTTTATTTGAATCATTAATAAGAAATCTTAGAACTAGAAGAGTAATTATTATTAAAGGTATAGGACTTATATACACTTTGAGTTAACCAATGCTTCATTCTTAATATGAAAATAACAATTTACAGTCTTTACTAAAAATAGTTCAAGTTAAGCAAAGTTACAAAAAACAAAAACAGAACAAAACAAAAAACAAATATAAACCATATGAGTAAAAGCCTGGACAGATGAGACTGAGTGTAGCCACACACCATATTGTTAAAACTCAAACTGAACTTGTGTTTATCACCACAGAACAATTAGACGGATGGTTGTTCTTATAGAGTGTGAGCTTCAGAGCCTCTGTCTTTAACTTCAGTCTGAGGCAGAGGTTTGAGGCACAGGTCAGAGGTTTGAGGCAGAGGTCAGAGGTTTGAGGCACAGGTCAGAGGTTTGAGGCACAGGTCAGAGGTTTGAGGCAGAGGTTTGAGGCACAGGTCAGAGGTTTGAGGCAGAGGTCAGAGGTTTGAGGCAGAGGTTTGAGGCAGAGGTTTGAGGCAGAGGTCAGAGGTTTGAGGCACAGGTCAGAGGTTTGAGGCACAGGTCAGAGGTTTGAGGCAGAGGTCAGAGGTTTGAGGCAGAGGTTTGAGGCAGAGGTTTGAGGCAGAGGTCAGAGGTTTGAGTCCGTGGAGGAAATAGAAGATATTTATCTATTGGGAGCCATGATTGCAGGAGTTTTGCTGACTGGATTAGGCTTGGCCCTGATTATTATTAATTTGAATTAGTAATGCAGCTGTTCAAAGCCCCACTTGTCTGCCCGGAATGACCGAGACGAGGGGCAGAGCTGCGAGCGCTCGAACGTGTGACTATGGGCCAGGTTCTCGGTCATTACCCGCTGGTTCAATGGACATGGTGACTCTCGATCACAATAGACCTTTTTGCTGTGTCTACATGTGTGTGTAAGTGTGTGTGTGTAAATGTGTGTGTAAATGTGTGTGTGTAAGTGTGTGTGTAAATGTGTGTGTGTGTAAGTGTGTGTGTAAATGTGTGTGTCAATGTGTGTGTAAATGTGTGTGTAAATGTGTGTG